GCGAATTTGGGAGCTGAGTAAATCGTAGACGATGGGTCAGCTCGGTAAGAAGCCGGCTCACGACCCCTTGCCACGCTACGGCCTTCTCGAGTTTTTTTCCTTTCAAAGGGTTTATAGTGCTACCAGCCCAATAGGCGTTTGGTAATGTACACATAAATTACTACCAAAATGCATAAAATAAGGGCCATAGAGTCCATCAAGGCAATGGCCATTAGAGTCCGAAGCAGTGAGCGACAATGAAAAATAGGAGAAGACCTTGGCCAACTTCCCTCCTGGGTTACTTCCAGGCTATATTAGAGCAAGAGGTGCCCTCTCAAGCATGGTGTCCATGTTGGTATGGACAGCACGCAGCCCTCCTCTCTCCCCCCCCCTTCCTCGGTACCTAGGCATTTAGCTGCTCATCTCCCACACACTGCCGGCCCCTCAGGTCTCTGACGTATCTGTAGTGACAGCCTGTTGTAGGCCCACTGCAGAGAACCCCTCGAAAGAGATGTCAGTAGGAGGTGCAGGTAGGTATAACCCGGCAGGATTTGGTGCCATTCCACGAGGTAGGGGAGGGGGTGGAGGCACTGCGTGTCAGGTGTGGCTAACAAGTGTACGCCTAGCCACAATTTGAGCGGCTATGGGAAGCTGCTGGGAGGGTAATATTAAACCGTCTGCTTAGACTCCATGTGCATTATGTTCAGATCCTATTGAACACCCTATGGACGCCCAGACACAGGTAGCTAGACGAGAGAGAGATCAAGTAGGAGGACTCGTGACAGGGCGCCAATATAGACCTATCGGGACACCCGCATATTTGACATAATGACACCTGGCACAGACGGCCCATATGGAACTAAAGAGAGGTAACAAGTGACTGTTTACTCGGCTTGAATGGAAGTAAAAGAGAGACTATAGGCGGTATAATAATGACTGAATGGAAGTAACAGATACCGGCTTATATTGTCTGAATAGGTATAAGAAGCATGCTTATGTGTGGTCTATTCGGATCCACACTGATATGGTGGGAGCCCAGATAGGCAACTTCAATTCATGTCAGAAATGTCAGAAATACCAATAAATAATTGTACACCATCCTCCGTCCCCTTTTCCTACCCCTTCCTCACGTTCCAGACAGCCACCAGCAACCTCTGAGCTGCAAGAAGTAAAAATCCCACTCAGCTATGCCCTCCCGCACCACGCAGAGTGCACCGCCACCGCCGCTACCTAGTGCCTGCACTGGCCCTGCTGAATGGGCTGTGTACAATAAGTTCAAGCGGGAATTGCAAGCTGCAGACCCTGAATGCCCTCCTCCGACGATGCAAGAGTGGCGCGAGATGATGGGGCTGTCCTCCGGGCAGTCTGGTGATCGTGCGACTGCTCGTACCTGCCGTCCCGCGGGCCGGAATGCCCAGCGTCGCGAAGCGATGGTCATTGATCCTGCCCTCCTTGAGACAGAGGAGACAGGTGGTGGATTGAGCCGCAACGGCCGAAAGCGCAAGGATAGGCGTTCCAAGCACGGAGGGCGGCGCCGCCGTCGCCACTGTCGCCAGGGTACAGAAAGCGGTGCTGAGTCTAGCAGTGATACCGAGTCCAGCAGCGATGCTGACAGCAGTTCCGAGTCGGAGCCCAACATTGCTCCACGCCTCATCCTCATGGCGAACAGGACTGAGCTTAACAAGCGTCAGCAGACAACCAAGTCAGAACTTGTGGTACGCACCTTTTTTCAACTTCGCAGCTGTGCCGCATTACAAGATATATGCGCATATATGCTAATCTGGGCTTGTCTTTTGTTAGTCTCTGGTTAAGCAAGAAGTGCACAACATTACTGGTATTGCAAAGAACCCTTTCGTCTTGCGCCGTGGCCAGCCCAAGCCCACAACGCCTGTCGCATGACCCAGCTATCTCCCGATTGCTTGGAGCGAGCCCGTTGACCACCCTACAAATCGGGCGGTAATTGAGCAAGTTGCAAGGCTTATCTATGCGGAGCAGACCGTGAGTGAAATGTGCCCGTAGCAGCGATTGACTACTCACATGCAGCATTAGGACAAGGAGAAGTGGACGATCTCCTGCAAGGAGGTTAAATTCACACTCTGTGACATCGAGAAAATGTGATGTGGACTTGCGTCAACACACCACGAGGGATACTGCATGGATCTAATCAAAAGGCGGCGCTGACGAGGTCTGGCGACTGTGCGTTAGCTTGTTCAGCTAGCCCAATAAACCAAGTGTATTTTAGTGACTATTCTAACATATGAACAAAGGCTTACCTAGCCCAATAAACCAAGAGGTTGAGATGGGGCTAGGTAACAACGAAGGGACTCATTATATACTAGTCAGGCTGCGCACGGACCAGGCGTTACATAAGCGACTGTGCTACGGCGGCTGCTAGTATCTGGGGTACTTTGGCAGAGAAGCGAGGGCCGGTGTGTCATAGCGTATAACGTTTGTCAGGCCGATGGGGATAGGATGTCCATTGCCGATTGGACTCGGAGATAGGCGGGGCCAGCGTGTCATGGCGTATGACGTTTGCCGGGCCAACGGAGATCGGATGTCCAGCGGAGATTGGAGTGCGGCTTTTACTGAGGAAGCGTGATGCGGCGACGAGGCGGCGGCAATACAGGCGCGTCTGATGTGCTGATGTGTGCCCGTCGGTGATGCGCTTTACAAGGTGTTTTGGCACGCGGCTAGTACTTGTAAACTGGTGCTAATGCGCTGACGACGTTTGGAGGGTCGTACAAACGTGGAATAAATCAGGGAAAATGAAAATAAAATAGGAGGCCGGGGCTATGCCCACCACAAAATGGTGAAGAACCATTTGCGCAACTGGAAGACAGCCTACAGCCAGAAGAAGGACCCGGCGAAGGTCCAGAAACACTTCGAGGCCACGGACAACGGGCGCCGTGCTGGTCGTCAGCGTGAGGCATGTAATGGAGAATCTATTGGCTCACTCCCAACTGATTTGAGGCTCAGACAAAGAACCGTCGCCTTGATGCCTGCTTGCTCTATGAGGAAAAGCACGGGGTCAATCCGCAGCCCCTCATTGAGACGCCATGGATGACCGAAGAAGTCAGCACGTTCAGTGCATCTGATGATGCAAAGCAGCAGATGTTTTATAGCGAAGCTAAGGAGAAGAGCGGACTCACCAATGAAGATATCGCGCGAGGTATCAAGATGCTTGAACTGCGATCCTTCACCTGGCGCACTAACAGAGTAAGTGTCCTTTTTCTGAGCAGACGCAGCCGTCAAGTACTTACGAAGAGTACATTTGTCTAGGTGACCCAGATTTATCACGAGCTTGATGATCTGTACAACGCAAACCTTAAGGCTGAGGTGCCTCAAGTCCATAGACGCATCGACCTCGGTCACATCTCACGCACCAATGTGCCCGATCTAAAGCGCTTGATATCTCTGGTTCTTGTCAACACAACCTGGCTGAAGCGTTGGCAGGCAGAACGCCATGGCGCCAGAGACCAAGACATCAAATTCAAGGTCAAGAACCCTCGCGGCTTCAGGGATCTCGAGTTGACCGACGAAGAGGCTGGTGGTACGAGGGAGGATCGTGCCGGTGGAGAGGGCTTGGTACAAAACCGGAGCGAGGGCAGCAGTTGTCGTCACGGTGAAGATGCTGATAGCACGGGCGAGGAAGAGGATGATGAGACCTGAGTAGGGGGTACTGCATTAGTGTTTGTTCTTGACCATATTCTTGATCGTTCGGCCGCCTGCCTGGGCCCAGTGCTCTTATCCGAGACACTGTCCTGTACTTTAAATGCTAGTCAGAAGATTGAGATGCAATTAAAAAAGCTGGTAGAATTATGTGCGAGGGACAAGGCACAAAATGCGAAGACGAGGCTACAGTACTTGTACATTCTGCAGAATAATATAGTAAGCCTTTTAGTTCTCAGATGGCGGTGCTGACATACCCGTGTGAGACCGCATGTTACCCAGACCATCTGAAGCTCCTGGCCCTCTGGGACATCTTTGTCTTCATCAC